GTAATATTCTCCGTAAATCCTTTTCTCTGATTGGTTCAGATTTTCCCGGGAAATTCAAATTTAAAATTGAGAAAGTTTAATATTTAAGTAGCTATTCATTATTTTACAGAACTTTTAACCTCGAACTTAAAATTCGCGCATTCTTTAGTTTTAGACTCAGGTTACAGTATTTAAATAATTGGAACTATAGGATCTTTATTCATGACTTCAAACAGGAATTCTATGCAGAATGCAGAATGCAAATGTTAACGTTTATATTATCTAAAGAATTTGAAAAATCCCATCCACCCCTGCAACCACCACCTTTTCCAGTAAACGAGATTTCTGGAAAAATATAGTATTTTCACAAACATTTTTTTGTTGATGAAGGAATTATTTTTAGTTCCAGAATTAAGTATAATCTTGATAATGAACTTGATCTACAATTGTCAGTCATATGTCTCCATAACTTTACTGTGACAAAAAAATTATGAAAATGACCCTGATAATAATATTCACCTTTACAAACATACCTATATCTATAGTTTTGACCTTAAAGAGACTGTAAGAGTAATTTTAGGTGACTCTACGTATGCAGAGAGAGCAACGCTCGATTCACAGTGCTCTTAAAAGCTTTGTCTAATCAAACATGAATTTTATATGATATGTTTATAATTTTAAAAAACTAATTATTTTTAATTGTGGTTTCTTTATACAAAAGTCACTTGCGAGTTGCGTATTTCTACTGCAGGAACACATCTGGAATTTACAGAATTAAACACATTTAAATCTAGAAAAACGATCAGATCTGGTTTCCGCATTATTGGTTAAATAAAGGTCTCAAAGATAATGTTGGGAATCTAGCATTGTCATCTTTGTATGGAGGTTCACTTGAGTACCCTTAAAGTCCCTAAAAATCCCTAATGATCTGCTTACTTGATTCTCTGTATATTATGTGATATCCCCGGAGCCCTGTATATTCCGTCAATAATGCCCTTCTCTTCCAGAAGCTGGGAACATATCCTCAGTACTTGGGGAACTAAAATATATCAAACATTAAACATTTATATTTCAAAATATGAATTCTGTTAGATCAAATATTTCAAGTTAAAGTAGAAGGCACTATGGCAAACGATTTTTTGTGTGGACACTGCAGTGCTACAATGTTTTCTGGGTTTTAAATTCTACAATAGCCACCAGATACCACACTAAATTTTTTTTATAGTTTTTTTCAGATCGTTAATGAAAATTTTTTATCCCTAAATTTTCACAACCTGATTGTGTAAACTTTGATATTTCAATCTTAGGCTATCTTATTCGCCAGAATTTACATTTTGAAATATTAAAGGTTTACACGATCAGGTTGCAAAGACAGACGGATTAGAAAGTTTTAGTTTGTGGCAAAAACTAATAGTAAGTAACCCTAAACCGTTAAATCTAATTAACATCAGATGATCTATACCAACGATTTTATCGTCTATTTCTAAAGAACCAAAGTCATTTTGATCTATCAAAAACTCCGACAGTATAGAGTTTAGTGCAATAATGCGAGGTTCACTAGTCCTCCTACTGAAGAGTATTCAGCAAATATGTCCGTCCTATTAACTCCGACAGTATTGAGTTTAGTGCAATAATGCGAGGTTCACTAGTCCTCCTACTGAAGAGTATTCAGCAAATATGTCCCCCCTATAAACTCCGACAGTATTGAGTATGTCCGTCCTATAAAGACAAAAAGATAAAACTTTTAAACAGTTGGAACACATCAATATCTTATTCGGAAAAATAACAAGTAATCTTTTTTTAATTGCCTTAAATAAAAGTCCCATGGGTCTATCTTCTATACCCGGCCACCTAGTATATCTCCTATACCCGGCCACCTATTATATCTCCTATACCCGGCCACCTAGTATATCTCCTATACCCGGCCACCTAGTATATCTCCTATACCCGGCCACCTAGTATATCTCCTATACCCGGCCACCTAACCTAACGTGTTCGTTTAAAAAATTGATTCTGTGACACTCTCCACATTTTATAAATTTGATAAAAATCTTTCCTCCATTTATTTAAATTGAAATACAGTGTGAGACGGATTGTTTTTAAACCAGTCTAGGATCTCTAGAATCTAGATCTAACAGAGCTAGGTTTGACTGCTACAGGTTAGAAAGGGACTATAATAAGGTTTGCAAAAAAGACGAGCGCAAGATAGGACTAATAATCCATTTTTTATATAAAAAATTCATATGTTGGACATAATTTGTAATTCCAGAAAAAAGCTCCAACACAAAAAAGTTGTTTTTTATTGTAAGAAATTATTTCTGTTTCTTATAATAATCCGTGCAAAAATCCCAGTTTATAAATCGTAATTATCATTTATTATGTATTATGTATTAGCTGGATCGTTATATTAAAAATACACAATAAAAAACTGAATTCTACATCCCTGAATTGAGATATAAAATAAAAATGATGACCCTGTTAGTCGATTTAAATGGAATTGGTTTAAGGGGCGTGGCATGGGAATGAAAGAAACTAATTGGTCGCAACAAACTCCACTTTCCTAATCTTTATATTTTTGTAGCCTGATACAGGTACCAATCCATCAATGAATATTGAACTAATTACAATTAATGCCGGAAACATGAAACCCAAACTTTAATCACTACAAACTAATATAATTGGAAGACTGATAATTATTTCAATATTTAATCCAAACAGTTCCCAGCAGGGTCCAATATTATACATCAGTCTAATCTCATTGAAATTAAACATGATCAAATCTGTTTAATACAAATAAATAATTTCAGATGTCAGACGTCGTGGAAAAAATCATAGACCAATTGATAAAATGAAAATCAAGTGGAAAAAAAGGAAAAAATACTATAATAAACGTACAAAGTACGATTTATAAATGGCCAATATGTTAATTCAAAGATAAAAAAACCTTTGGATTCTGCACATATGACCACTGAAAAAATAATTTATTTTAAAAAAATTGAAAAATAGCCTTAGGTAACATGTCAATTAGCCAGGGCCTATTAAACAATGAAGAACTGAACAATCAACAAAGAATTATCTGTAAACCTGATCAAGGTTAAACGAATTTAAGAAGATGTTCAGATATGCCAAAACTATATTCCAATTAGAGACTAGAATTTAAAACCTGAAATTAATGAATACAGTATGCACCCTTAGGTAATATTAGTTGTTTAATTCTTAGCACCTTTTCTTTAGACCTTCAGTTTAGCCAAATTTGACTAAATCTTAAATGTACTTACATAAATATATATACTGGGTGCCCCATAAATATATATACTGGGTGCCCCATAAATATATATACTGGGTGCCCCATAACAAACAGGGATTAGTGTTTTTCAGTCCTTTTAATCTTTTTAAATGACTTGAAAATGTGCTCTAGGATATGTTTTTTTCAAATTTTAAATGGGGTTTCTTAGTAAGGTTTCCGCTTTCCGATTCTTCAGTTTTCTTCAAGTCACTAAAAAATAATATTGAGGCTTAAAAACGCAAATCCCTGATTATTTGGGTCACCTTGTATAAATATGTGATCTCTGTTTGTCTGTCTGTTTAAATGATCAATCAGGAGCCCCTTGACCACGGGAATATTTTTAGCTAAAATATTTTAATTTGATTGGGGTGACTTTAACATAAGAAGTATAGTTTCCATACAAAGTTGGGTTCCCAAGCGTTGCTTGAATTCAGTCTTTGTAAATATTTAAATGGAATGAATTTAAAAAATTAACAAGGTCAAATATTTTAAAATAAAAAGGATTGTCGACTGAATTTCAAGTGATATTCAACATACCCAAAATAGAATGGGAGGAAATTATCAGAATTAAACACTTTTTAAGCTAGAAAACCGACGATATCTTTCGCATAATTGATCAGATAAAGGTTAGCAGGCAATGTATATTCATAAATATAGTGAACAAATGCAAATAGTAATCGTTTTAAATAAAATAAAAACTCTAATCTGAACTTTAACTTAAAGATACTTAATTTAGATAATGCATGCCCCAGCTCACCAAGGATCCTTTGTTAATCAAATAAAAGTTTTTAAAATGAAAAAATCAACAGACCCGGGCCGGCTGAAAGGATTTTATTCCCTGCATCTGGCTGAAGAATGCTAGCAAGGCAATTAGTGTCAGTTTGTCTGTTGTAGAATATCCATTGAAGGACAACCCTAACATTGTGAATAAAGAAGGGTCCTACAATACATCCTGTCGGAACCCCCTTTTCCATCTTTTAACACATCTTGCTAATAGCCTTAAACATTCAACACATAATGTCATCATTAAGATATTGAATATCTTAATGATGACATTATAATAATTAATCAATTTTCTTTTTCAATAATAAATATTATATTGAATGAATCGAATATGGATTTAAAAGTAAAATAAAAAATTTCGAGGATTTTTTTCAGATCTGAGTTCAATGAGTTTAATCCCTCAACGCACCCATCTAAAATTTTTACATCGCCATCCCCTGCAACTATTTCTCCATTAAGAGGCATTCCAAACTAGAACAACTCCCCTCTTCTCCCTACTCTATCCCGCTTAATGCTAATGTTTATTGCTATTTCTGAGTTTAACAGAGACAGTTTACACTTCATAATGATGTTACAATAGTCCCTTGTTGGACTCTAAATACAGGTTTAGATAAACTTACATATATTTCTCCATATGTACTTAAACACTTGCCTTAAAGGGGCTGTAACCCTCCGTGCAACGATGGCATTGTCCAATTTACAACGGTTCCATCAAAAGCTTTGAATTATCAAGTATGAATCAAATATCCATGTTTTTGTTTCATTAAACTGTTTATTTCATTCGTGTAGGTTCTAAGCGAAAGTGGTTGGCGCATTTCTTGCTTATATGAAGCAAAAGAGAAATTATCAGAGTTAACACTTTTAGAGTAAGGAAAACGACGGTATCTTCCACATTTTTCATCAGATCAAGGATTCAAGGCTACCGTTGTAAATCGGGCATTGCAATCTTTGCCTGGAGGGTCACTTGAAATTACGCTTACAATCCCTTTAATCTTTTTATCTATGTGACTTGATTTTGCAAACCTTTAATTATTTGATCTAGCAGAATTCATATTTTGAAATATTAAAGGTCTACGAAATCAGGTTGTAAAAAGATTAGATTAAGTTTCAGTTTCTTTTCATTCTCTAAAAATGCTACTGTAAACATTAAAAACTATGCGATGGCATTTTTTTAATAAAAATGCTAAAATTCTTTTTTTTTGTAAATCAGATTGTGAGCCAGAAACGTTAAATTCTTAAAAAAAACCTGACTTTTAAGCAAATTCTTTGCAAAAAAACCGGTTTTTAGGAAAGATATAATTAAGTATAAAAAAACAAGTTTTTTAGCCTTATATCAAACAATTTTTGAAATACCAAAAAAAACAGACAAATGGATGGTATTCATATTCATTTCAACATGTTTGGAAAAATTCAAAAATCCACCTTCTCTTAAGATATCTGTTTTTTAAATTGTTTTTTGCTGAATAAATTTAGATCTTTTCAATTTGTTCTTTTAAAAATTTAGCTTTTTACTCGTTCAAAAAGGATTTGTCATCTTGATTTGCTTTTTATCGTGTAAATCTACCTTCGTCTCCAGTATCTGCTAGAAGCTTGGTCAGTTCCAATCCAAACACACGGTTCATCCCAACCTTCTCCTTCTCCTTCGTCCTAGGACTGATGAAGCTCCGGAAAAAAGAGACGAACTTTCCGTTTCTCTTCCAGACTGGAATCTGAGCATCGTGCGTATCCTGGAAGGTCGCCTGATAATCAAACCTACGAGGTGAGGGAGGGACCCGGAGAAATCGAGTTCGTTTTCCCATGCTCTTGATTCTATCTTGGGCTTTAAATGAACCAAAGATATGCGATAGTCATATTTTATTTCAAAGAATAGGAATCAGTGTGGGTCATTATTCAAACCCTGTTCATTCTGTCATGGCGGTCTATTATCTATTGTTCTCAGATCTTTAATCCTTGTAGTTCTAGGTTTAGAGCTCCCGGCCTCTCTTTAGTCTTCCTTGTTATAGATTCTTTTTCTTGTATATTTTCTTTCGTTTGTTTTCCTTGTGAGATAACCCTTTCTTTTCCATATCTATCCTTTTCTTCGACCCCGTATTAATTCTTTTTCATTTAATAATTTTACTGTACCCCTTTTTCTCCCCTTTCACCCTCTACTCTAACCCCTTCTACAACCCTAATTTTAAATCGTTTCTAAATTCCCTCCTTTTTAATAAGACGAAGGATCAAACGTTTGAAATCTTTGATTTTAATTATACGTCAATATATAGGATTACTTTTTTGCAAGGATTAGAGAATATGGTTAGTTTTAAGTAACTTCCTTTTACTGAAACTAGTCCAGATAAAAGGCTTTGAAATAAGAAAGAATTCTTGTTAAAATCACAGTGAGAAAAAGGGCGTTTGGAAAATGAGAACGGTAAGGGGGGGGGGGAGATTGATATTTTTAACAATTGGGTTACATTGCTTCTACTTAGGTTACATCATTAATTTTACCTTTCCTAGCCTTACGAGTTTCGATTTAGTTGAATATGGTTAAATCTTTGTTAAAATTCAGAATAATTAAAACAGTTGGTCTCCATAGTCTCGTTGACTACTAATTGACAGTTTAATTATATAAAAAACAAATCTGCCTTTGTCGTTTTAAACGTATACCTAACCTAATATCGATACGGATAGATTAACGGTTTCAGCTCCTACCATCTTGTTATTAACATTCTGGGTGCAACAAGTCTAATAGGGGCGGGGG